GAAACAAGACAAATACTGGAAATGCACAGCAAATCCACATTGACTGTAAGAGGAAGAGAAATTGATATTTTTGGCCTTTGTAGCTCTTGATTGGAACACATGCACAGTTGGTGGATGTGGTGGTATTGGGTGTGTTGGAACTGTTCAAAAGAGACACTTCAGGCGTAATGTCTTGATAATTGCATATGTTTAAAATACCTGGGGTCTGAAATTCCATCTTAACATTTGGAGACTTATTGATAGAATATGGAGGACAAAATAATGCAAATTCCAAAAACCTTTTGTGGTATAACAATTTTCACATGATCAATGTAAAAGCCTCAATTGGTCTTCATTAAGGGATGAGGTTCAGACCACAGGTATTCTCCTTTGTAAATATCTTTGCTTTAGATTTTAAGACCACTGCTAATTTATGACTGTTGTATGTTGGTGAAAGCAGCTACACGATGCTGTAGAAAGGACAGACATGGTGGCTTGGACAGCAGAAACAAAGAAAAACATGTTCCTTTAACTTCAAAATTCTTTGTTCTCATATATTTCTGCTGTTGACAAAAGTCAGTTTTGTATAAACTGATTACACCACCTCTTATCAGATCTTCCTCTGCCCAGACATCGTTTTGCACAAGGAGCCCCAGTTTAAATCATCAGTTTGATGTATGCAACAAATAATAATCCTTGCATTTGATATAGCGCCTTATCACGTCTTTGAGACGTCTCAAAGCGCTTCACAGAATATACTGTGAATTGACTGTATATATTTTTTGGACGAAACGTGTCAGCCAATTGTGCACAGCAGTGTCCAACAACCAGTCGTGGATTGAGTGACCAAAGATTTAATTTTTCTTTAATTTTAAGATATGTGATTAGTTTGTTATCTGGGGGTCTCAGTTGTATAGTGACACTAGCTAGTATGATGTGCATGATCTGAACGATGAGTGCAAGCAGTGGAAAAATTGCTCCTTGCCTTAACCTCAAATATTTACTGCAAATGAAAGTCTTGATCAGGCATGTTCTTGATACATTGTAATAATTGCTAAATAAATGTAATATTTAAAGCCATTTATTGTAGTTCCAGCATACCTTCGTGGATAGTTGTCATGGTTTCACACAACCGATGCTTTCTTTTGACTTGATGTGCAGCAAAAGACAAGGGTCTGATCATTCAGTTGTAAAATGACCCTTCGGCTATAAAAGCTGTGTAAAGCCATGAACTCAAGGCTGGATTTGATGCTGTCGATTTGAAATACTGCAGTAAAATTTCTTAACCATTCAATTAAATTTCAAAGAGCGAGCATCAAGTTGAAGCTTTGGATAGCATTTTGAATAATTTCAAATGGTTAGAGCATAATTCACCAACGACGTAAGGCTTGGAGGATATTGCTATCTTCTCCCACAAAATACACAGTCAATTCAATTTACAGTATATTCTGTGAAGCGCTTTGAGACGTCCTGAAGATGTGATAAGGCGCTCTATCAAATTCAAGGATTATTATTATTATCTCAGCATGTGTGGGTTTTGTCCTTTGAATGCAAACACTTTTAAAATCTAGCCAAGACGTGTGCCATTCTCTTACTGGAGGGTGGACATGTAACTGGTGGAAGACTCCCTACTGTGCTAAATATCCACTCACAGCATCCCCAAATTGCCTCTCCTCTTTCATCTCTCTGACTTCACGTAATTGTTTTGGATACCCTGAACTGAACTGGTGATTTTATGAGAAAACAATCCTCATCTCTTTCAAAGAAAAGTTTCATTTCTGAAATCATGATCGCTGAACCCGCTTTGTGTTCAGCTCTGTCACGTTTTTTAAAAAGTGGTTTTAAAAGTTAGCTTTCAGAGAGTATGACAAGTATTTGCCTCTTAAAAAGTCCGACTTAAACTCTAGAGCTTTATGAAGTTGTAATTAATCTTCATCCTGCTAATAAATGTGAACAACCATTTGCATTCACTGTGGGAATTTCTACGCAGCATGGTAACAGTTCAGGCTAAAATCTGATTTGAGCCAATTATCGTCTGCTCCCCTTGACTGCCGAGGCTTCCACATCAAGTACAGAATGTCCTAAAGAGGAATCCAGTCTCACTGATGTGATTTTTTTTATTAAGAAAAAAGCAGCATTGAAGAGCATTTGAATAGTTCCTTTGCAGATGTGGAATGACTCCCCCAAAGGGCTTGGTATTATCAGGTAAAATGGGGTCACGGAGTTGTGGAGGGGTGCGTCGTGGGGGGCACCAAGTCAGGATAAAACCTCCACACGTTTAAACACTTTGTTGGGCTTAAATAGAACTTCTGAACTGAGCTACAAGCAACCATTCAAAAGGGGAATTAACGAAATGTCCTGTTTTCCCAAATAGCCAGTCCATCCCCGTTCTTTTGCATTTGCTTGGCTACTTGCACCACTCAACTAATGTTTAGAGCCCACTGCAGAACTTGCTGGTAGGTGCCAGCTTTTTCTTCATGAAACAGTATCATATTTGCAAAAGAACAATCTATAATTCACAAATATATCTATGTAAGTACAGTACATGCAGAGACATTGGACAAATTATGTACAGTTCATGCCATGCTGGTGAGATGTTATCTGTGAGTTACAGTGTAACATTGTGTGATCTTCCCCAGATCACAGCTACATTTTAGTTATTTTTTACAACAATATTTGTCGATAATATCTTCTTCCTTCCCTCGTGGTTCAGTCTGTAATTGCATTATGTTGGGTTGCACTGAGTGATACAGAAGAGGAAGGAAAGGGCTTGTTTGAATTCTTGGCTTGTACTCAATTTGCTCCTCTCAGCTAGGATTGGTGGGAGGAGAGCTGGATTTTGTCTCAATATCTCTAAGTAAAGAAAAGGAATGGATTGACTAGGGTTGCCTGCTCTGATGCGGCACAGTGATCCTACTCCGTCTCCTCTCCCCTTTTTGGGGGGTCAGCTGGGTATCTACGGAAACCTTTTGCTGTGCTTAAGAGAATCATAAATAGATTTAGAGTTCCACATATGTATACCACTTAGGCATGGAAATTTCTTTATGTCTTGAATGGAATATGCACTCTCTTGCTGGAGGTGTGCATCCAGTTTACCTAATACCACAGAGTATTACATGCAGGTTGATGAGAGCCAAGGCTTTGGGCCTCAGTATATGCTGCCTTAGATTAACCATTTGAAACTGCATTGCCTGCTAATGAGAGCAGTGTATGATCAGGTTCCTGCTGCTTGTTCAGCTAGGACCACCCTCTCTGACTCTCAGGATTAACAAGAGCTGGGAAGAATCCTCTGCCCTCCAAGTGCAGCCAGCGAGCCAGGCTGGTCTGTCATCAGCAATTCCTTGGCATATTGTGCCTCGCTCAGGAACCAGATTACCGAGGCTGCCAGAGAGGATTGACTCAATTTTGACATACTATAATAATAATAATCCTTGCATTTGATTTAGCGCTTTTCACATCTTCTAGATGTTTCAAAGTGCTTCACAGAATATACTGTAAAATGAATTGACTATATATTTGTGGGCAAAACATGGCAGCCAATTGCGCACAGCAGTGTCCCATAAACAGTCGTGGATTGAAGTGACCAATTTATTATTTTTTTTCTTGAGGGATTATTATCAGGCGTGCCAATGAAGGAAAGTTGCCCAAGGTTTTGTCCTGTCGCAAATCAAACCCAGGTATTTCGCTTGTGAGACAAGTGCTCTAACCACTGAGCTACAGGACTCCATGATGGCCAAACACTTCTCCTTGGAGCCAGATCTTCTTACCTCCTCCCCCAAGGAGGTTTCTCACGCACCCATTGCCAGAACAGTGTCCAATAATCCTCCAGATGAATTGACCGTTTACATTATGGCTGGTTGTTGCACAAGTTAATGCTTTTGGGAGAGATGGGCTGTGGAAGTAAAAGGTTTAAACTTGATACCTGTGGTTTCTTAAACCCCTTCATCTGAATTCAGTGTTTGTGTTATCCAGAGAACTGTGTTAACATTTCCAGAGCTATATAGCTTGTGTGGGCAAGCCTATGGAATGTTGTTCCAGAGTAGAAATAGCAAACAAAACCTTTTCAGTTGTTTCATTGTGAATTTGTGAGAGCAAATTCTTTCTATCCCCCTGTCCACCACCACCATACTCTCCTTCCCACACCACTACTCACTTCCCCCATTTAGCCCAAATGCAGTTTATGAAGGGTAGGAGACTTTGTTGCCGTGTATTTGATACAGTTTGATATTTTGGGATGATTTGGGGTAGCAAGCGAGGTAGTATTTGAACAATGTGATTTTTGTATCCAGTTGAAATGATACAGTATCCTGTACCTGCCCAGATTTCGTAAGACTAAACGTGAACTGTAAGCACTTTCGAACTGTGTGCTTTGCAGACACCAAAATGTATTTGTTTCAGTTTTGTGGATAAAGATTACAATTTGTTACTAGAACCCAAGTGTAAAGTTTCTGATATTCCTGAGTAAAAGTCTTTGCCTCTGAATGTGGTTCATTTACAGCATGAAATGGGTTGCTGCACAAATCCCATGTCGAGGAATTTGTTCAGAAATTCATTGCCTTTGGCCCTTGTTGGGGGGGGGGGCTGAAAAGAGAAAGGAACATGTGTTCACATGAATTATTCACAATCCAGTTTTAAGGCACAGTTCTACTGGGCAGTGTTGTGTTTTGAGATTTGATTGTTGTGCAGCATATGGAGCGGGGCTGGCAAGATTACTTTCAGATAAATATTATGAACAGCCTGGACCCTGACAGTTCTGCCAAGCTTCCCATGATATCATTCATCATTGCATTCCTTTCCTAGTCAGCCAAGTTTGGAAACTGGCGCTCTCAATAGCAGCTTCAACGAATGTAACTTTGAAGGAGTTCAGTAGCTTTGTCTTCTGAATTCAGTGATTGTAATCATGGAAAACTTGTTCTGTCATCATCTTAGACATATTTAATCCAACAACAGAACCTCATAATGAATCCTTTTCATTATTAGATTTTGGAGGGGAAACTGGAGGGGAGTGGGGCGGGGGGAAGAGAAAATTAAAGTCTAGTGATCAAAAAGCATTTGATTGGTGAGCTGCACAAGGCATCTGCCAGCAGGACTTAGCTGGAATGTAGGACCGGATAGTTTAGAGTTAAAGATAGAGACTGCTGGTACAGTGTCCTGAGCCAAGTGCTAAATTCAGCCTGCTCAGCTGTGAGCTGTGTTCAACACTGCCTTCAGCTCGCATGCTGAGACCAAAAGGTTTTTGCATAAACCTTTTAAAGTCCATACAAGCAGGATACATATGAAGACAGAATGGTTTACACAACGGAGTAAGTTTCTTTAAAGTTTACCTATTGAAGTATTAATTATTTTGCTGCACTGTTTTTGTCTCTGTACTTTACATGTTTCCAAATTAAAACGCCTCAGTTCCAAGTATTGTAAATGCTGCTGAGTGAATAACTTTGGCACGTGATTTAAATGGATTACGATTTGTGTCAGCTATTCAGAACATTTAATTTTTCTTGTTCGTTTACTGCTGTGTTGAAGATGTTCTTAAATGGAAATTTCTCTTATCTCACGTTCTTGGGAGTATGGCACAATGGTTATAAATGGTGTTTCTAAAGATATCGTCCTCACTGGATTGCTGTCGGTAAGATGAGAACTTAAAATCATCCTGTGTGTCATCCCCTAGCAGCCTGTATTTATGCAGCCAATTACTATTGCAAATGAACACGCTTTACTTGCTGGCCCTCAGACACCACTAGTCCACCAGAACTTTCTTTTTGAGAGTGTGTTAAAGATGTGATATGAATGTGATATAAGCAAGGTTGTGATATAGTTCCCTCCAGAACCCGGACAAATCTGGGTCTGCCTAACTGTGCTACAGTTACTAACGCCATAACGAGAGCACGATAAGCAGGAATAATTGACACAGTACATCATACAGAGCCTGCGGACCTGGTTGTCAGAGGTCAGAAAACGTCTACTTCCTATTTTTTCCTCCATTTCCTTTTCTCTTTCTTAATTGCTTTATTTTGCGAGATGCTGCCCCACGTGAAGGACACTATATAAATGCAAGTTGTTGTTGTATTAATCATTTCTGCCGAGCAAATTCAAATGATATACTGACTAAATTTATTGTAAATTTGAACATGTTTAGACAGTGTTGCTTTTTGAGAACATTTTTTCATTTAACCATAAATTGGGTATCTATGCTTCTCTGCTTTGCAGTCACTGCAAATTTTAGTTGCATTATTGACTGTAACTAGTCCTTTTTTTTGTTCTCGCTACCAAAATAATAATAATCCTTGCATTTGATAACGCCTTATCACAACGTTGAGATGTCTCAAAGTGCTTCACAGAATATACTGTAAAATGAATTGACTGTATATTTGTGGGCGAACTGTGATAGCCAAAATTGCGCACAGCAGTATCCCACAAACAGTCGTGGATTGAATTAACCAATTTATTAAAGTGAATTGATTCTATATTTTGTGGGCGAAACGTGGCAGCCAATTACACTCAGAAGTGTCCCACAAACAGTCATGGATTGAGTGACCAAATTATTATTATTATTGAAGAGATTATTAACCCCAGAAAGCAATCCGCTAATCGACTAACAACCGGGATCCTACTTAGTGCTAGGTAAACAGAGGCGTGTGGAGTAAGGAAACACCTAAGGTTTCGCCCTACCAAGGGAATAGAACCCGGGTCTTCTCGTTTGTGAGGCAAGTGCTCTAACCACTACGTCATAGGACACTGAAAAGAAAAAGACCTTTTCTTTTTGGTGTTGCATTGCAATAAAGGTCAATGGTTATGTGATTTTATTTTGCGAGATGCTGCACCAAGTGAAGGGTGCTATATAAATGCAAATGGATTTTAAGATCCTCTCAATCATTTTCAAATCCCTTCATGCCCTGGCACCTCCCTACCCTATCCGATCTGGTTAGCCCCCACTCCACCATCCACTGCCTCTGCTCGGCTGGCTCCAGCCTCCTGTTTGTCTCTCATCCCCTCCACTTCACTATTGGTGGCTGTGCCTTCAGCTACTAAGCTCTGAAACTGTGCCTCAATCCCTCCACTCTGCCTCCTCCCTCACCACTTTCAAATACCACCTAAAGACCTTCCTTTTTAATCATGCTTACAGTCACTTCCCGCCTCCATATTCCACTGGCTCGTTGTCAGACTCCGCCACTGTCAAGTGCTCTGAGACGCTACCCCATGTGAAGGGTGCTATATAACTGCAATTGTTGTTGTTATATTTGATTATCTGACAAATGGTGCTTATTTTCTGATAAGCATTTGGTTGCAGACTAAGTGAGTAAGCAAGAGAAGAAGGATTTGAAATATAGTATAAGTATAGTATAGTATAGTATAAGTTGGTTAGAGAAAAGTAGTTCTGGTATTTACTGAAAATATTTGGGAATAAGTTGTGTGTTGTCATCTTTGAGACCTTTTGAGTAAATGTCTCTTTCCTTACAAAAGCCAAATTATCTCTGTCTAACACTGACTCCACTGTATACAATAAATCCAGAATTTTGCTGCCATCTTTTTTACTCTCAGGAATTTCTGTGATTTGCAATGAAACTTGGCAGATCCTTTGGGCTTAATTACAATATAAGGTGAACACTGAATAGCCAACGCATGATGCCGCTGGATCCCTTCTGTACCGAGACTTCATGTCATTGGTTTGAGCTCTTTAATATTCTGGCAAGCCTAAAATTCTGTTTGTGATGTTCACCATCTAATTCTCCCCTTCACGGGCACATCATGGAACCAAATGGACTCATAGTTTGGCCAGTAAATGTGTGGTGTTTTAGTTGATCAAACATACAGGTATTGGAAAACCATGGTTCTGAAAGCCTTTTTGCAGATGGGCCTGACTCTGCTCTCCTGCTGCAGTAAAAAGTGTTGACATGACACTTTGAATACAGCGGCAACATGTTGCCACCTTGATAAGCTGAGTCCCTCATGCTTAACCTATTCATTTCTCCCCCAACATATGCACATTAGCAATGTAGCAGTTTCACTTGTGCTTACAAGAGGGCAACCCTGTTATGCCTCTCATTTTAGCATGGCTTTGATTATCACGCTGGTGTCTTGTGGACCCATGCCACCCGGTTGTGTGGTAAACCCAGCTTCCAGAGCTGGATCCCGCTCTGAAAAACGTCAATTTCTGGTCATAATTCTGGTCATCACTTGTTGCACACATTCGCAGGAAGCTTCATCAACATCAATCTGATGATCTGGAAGTCAGACTTTTTTGTGCTTCATTTAAAATGTTGCTGCTGAGATATTGAATCCTGACAGTCATGCAATAACAATGTCATGCTGTAATGTATACATTTCTCCAAAAGCGGTGTGATTTGAGACACCTGAGCAATACAGCAATATGTTTGGAGAATTTGAAAGCTGATACTTACTTAGTGCCTTGCCAGACTGTGAGCGCAATGCCTCAGTGTGCAGCTTGTAATCAGATAGTTGTGTTAAAAGAGACTTTTGGGAAATTGGATCAGTAGTGAGATAAACCAATGATGAATTTCTGCCTGAAACTGTTACTATGTTACTGCGTGGACTCAATGCAAAGAAAGATATTGTGTCTATCATTAATAGATTGTGAAATGCTAAAATAGGATGCTAAAGGTGGTATAAAGCTAATATCAGTCAAATTTGTAGGTATAAGAAAGACTTAGATAAGGGTACATGAGACAGCAGAGGAAAAAGTGAATACTTTGTGGGCAAAAGCTAGAGATGTTGCAGAATGGAGAAGACAGCAGAGGTTTGAGGTTGTTAAAATCTAATAAATAGCTGAAGAGTGTCCAAGGAGAAGACAAGATGATGTTTCAGAAGTTTTGGAAACTCAGGTAATATTATACCAAACTAGATATTTATTATCTTTTATAAATATAAAAATCGTTTAGTTTGAGTTTGTCGATTTCCCTCTGTTACAGATTTTTAAAAAATCTATAATTAATTACTGTTGTCAAAGAGGAAAATATAATTTTACCCACAAGAATCTAATAAAAGGGCTTTTTGTAGTTTTGAACAAAATGAAACCTGCATCCTCATCATACACCCAGTTTATACTTGTTCTCAAAGTTAAAGCATTCAGAGTTAAAGGGTGTGGTCGCTGTACATGCACAGCTCAATGCATGTGCATAATTGATTCATTTTTTTAATGTTATTGGACAGTCCTAGTCCCTAAGCATGAAACTTGAAATAATAGTGAATTTCAAGGCACCTTTCTGAGCAGTAAATCAACTCATACCTGCATTTGCACTTGAATTCCCATAAATCACTTTGTGACCGCACCCGTCAGAGCTGATTGGCATTTTTGTTTCTCTAGTCGATTGAAGCTGGTGCTGAATTGATGTGAAAAGCCGAGTGCATATAAACTGGGCACCGATTGTCTCTCACACTGTCCATTTACAGGACCCAACTTCACAATGATTAGATTAAGCACTGAAACAACGTCAAGCAAAACTCTACAGATTACTCCATATAAACTAGCGGAAGGGCAATGATTCAAGGTAGTAATCTGATCTCAGGAATTAGATGACAGATATTAAATGCTTGAGTTTTGCTGTTTTGAGCGTATGATGCCCTCTGAGCTCAAATGAATTCCAGTCATGTTCCCTGCTATCCATTATTCTATATTTAATACTGCAGATTTGGTCTTGACCTATTGAGTTTGAAATCAATGATAGAGTATTATTAGAATCTGTGGTTACCTTTATGAATTTATGATCAATTGGCTTAAGTGATAGGAGCATTTGAGCATTTGTTCAGTGAGTTGCTGAATAGAGTCACTACAGAGGTGGCCAATTCTGTTCCAGGAAGTGGAGGAAGGAAGCGAAAAAATTCCTGGATTTTAATTCAACCCGGTTCAGTTGCTTCTGAACTTTGAAACTCACATTGCCTAGACTGACAGTGTAGTGTTGGGGGAGCGCAGTGTTGTTTGAGGTACTGTCCTTCAGATGAGATGTCAAACTAAGGTCCCATCTGCCTGTTCAGGTAGATGTTAAAAAAATCAATAATAATCTTTGCAATTGGTTTTGTGCTTCAAAGCACTTATGTAATAATAATCCTTGCATTTGATATAGCGCCTTATCATGTCTTCTAGACGTCTCAAAGTGCTTCACAGAATATGCTGTAAAGTGAATTGACTGTATATTTTGTGGGTGAAACGCGGCAGCCAATTGCGTACAGCAGATTCCCACAAACAGTCGTGGATTGAAGTGACCAAATTATTTTTATTTATTTTGAAGGAATTATTACCCCCAGAAAAGCGATCTGGTAATCGACTAACAACCGGGTTCCTACTTACTGC